AAATGTTTGTTGTGTTTAAATATTAGCCTATAGGGTTGCCAGAGATAAAATTATTTTCGTATTTTATTTAGAGACAACTTTATTAGCCATACAATTAAATGCTTATAAACTGCTTTCCTGACAGAACAGAATTTCTAGTGTGCAGGTAGTTGATTGTAGACTGCAGCCATTATAGAGATCCGGTGCTGAAACAAGTTCTTCTTCATCGTTGACTTTAAAATAAAGTACAAATATCCTGAACATTAATAACGGGTGATTTTTTGAGCGCGTGGTTGTCAATATGGCAATACATTTTGTGGAGTTAGTCTATTTGACAGCTTAGCTTACATTAATGGTTCGGTGCGCGCTTGACATCGCACACTGCGTCCAATATTCGGTCGACATAATCGCCCAGCAGAGTCGGCAATTCGAGGAACCATGGATCGTTTTCGTACCACATTTAATGAAACGGATAATGTGCATTCTCAGTGCTGTGGTGCAGAGTAGCAAAGAAGACCCGGATGAGTCGAGCCTTAGCTGACCATTCGTCCCGAGTTAAGCGTCCCGGCCGTCCTGGGCTTAGAAATTAAAATAAAAAAGAAATAATTGAAAAAAATTGTGTTGCTCTCACACCTATTATGTGTCATGATTTTCCCTGAATTATAATATGGAAAAAATTGATGACTAAAAAGTACCCTCTCGGATTTTCCTGGTAAAAATATGTTCACCTAAGATAAAGATATTTTTCCACAACTTTATGCTATAAGAAATGCAACTGTGAAGCGTATTATAGCTTCGGTGCAGCCGAAGTTAACGATTTTTCTTTTTTTGATTTCCTTAAACAAATATAATATGTTTATGTACAACATGAAGGTGCCTTGCAATCAATTCAAAGATGTTTTAAATGGAATTATATTGTGTTTTAAATTTTTTCATCGATCTGGCAACGCGCAAAAAATATTTAAAGAAACAAATGTGTATTTACATAAGTAATATGAATGAGCGTGCTTATAATTTTTTCTTTAATATTTCTTTTTGCACCTCAATAAAAGTCGATGCTAAGAACGTTGGAAACTGAATTGGAAAATAAATATTTTGCCGCCACGGAGTATTCGCATATTCATACGCAAGTGTGCCTAAGCTAACGGCAAATCTTGGCCAAGATGCAAGCAAACACATACACATACGTATGTATATGTGCATGTGTAATTTAAAAATTATATGAAAATATTTTTCAATAAAAATTTTGGTTAGGTAATCATTGCAGAAGCTTGTTGGAAATTATGTTAAGGGTGTTTTGTTGTGTACAATACAAAAATTTTTTTCAACATGTTTAGAAATTTTCAAATAATTACACCCATATAAAATCTATATATGTATTTATAATATATATTTGTATGCATATATGTATATATTTGCATGTACATATGTACACATTATTAACTTCCTTGTACAACAATTCGTCATATCTTTCGCTCAAAGTGACATCCACATCGGAATTTACTTGTGGCCTCTAGGCGAATCGCACAGATTTTATTTTCTTTTATCATGTTATAAAATGTTTTCAAATGTTAAGTCATACTGACTTGGTAGACAAAAATATTTTCAATATTTATTCTATATAAATCAGCACACAGTATATCATATCCACACACCCACATACACAGTCTCCCTTAGTAATATATAATATATGTATGGCTTCTTTTATTTGAGTGTCAGTATATTTATAATACCTATATATATATACATATATATCTATATGTATATTTATATGAGTAGTTATGGTTGTATTTGTTATAAATGAGTTGTCTTTGTGTGTTTTGCCCACTTTTTCAATTATTAATCATCTGAATATATTTGGCTTATGACGGTCGCGCTTTCGTTTCGGCAAACGAGTCGATTTTTGTACCCACCGCCGCTATCGTTCATGTTTTTGCAAATAATTAATTAATAATTTGAAATTTGCACGCAAAATGCCTTGCCAAGCCAATGGAGTGTGTAAATAATTTGTCAGTATTTGATAATTGTCAAATGCTACTATTGGGCTTGCATTAAGAATGGGGACACATTTTTGATTAAATTAAATTAAAATCTTAAGTCTTATTATATTTTTGTTTACGTACAATGTTTTACCTCATACTTCTCTGTATTGATAGCCGTGCTGCGCGAGTGCTCCTTAGCAACCAATCAGTTCATATTAGCGTACTTGATCGTTTTCTGACTAGCGCCTTTCTAACAAGGATTCCGATCCGGACTGATTGCCTTCTTATTGGCCAGTATCCTATAATAGCTGGTATTAGTTTGAAGACTTGTGTCCTTGGTCCATTGCGTAGACATTCCGTGTTTAATAATTTAGTACTGTCTCAGTTACTCTGTATGCTAGAGAGTCCACACATCTACTTTTTACTTACTGTAGAAGTTGTTGTCGAAATATTCTCTTAATTTGTTCTAGTGGGCAACCAAGTACCTCTGTCTCAAATTTTAAGAGATTCAATTTTTTCACCAATTTTGCTTTCTAATAAGCTTCTATATTTATGCGACCGGAAACCTGAAGGAAATGGAGAGCCTTTGACTCTCTTAGGATATTTTGCTCTCTCAACCCTGCCTGGCGGTCTGAAAATACTTTGATTATAGTTTTAACACCCTACAAGCTTCGTTGACCCTGGTATCTTGGTCTGGAAAATATTTACTTAGTTTCCCAGTCGAATGGAGAGAGAGAAGTTGATCGGCTTAGAGTACTCACTTATAAATTACGAACTTGTATGCTTAAAGAAGGATGATGCCAAAAAATGATACTATACTCAAAAGGTCACACATAAATGTATACATACACATAAGTATACATATACCATATATACTTTCAGATAGTTGTAAGGCAATTCGAGTTCGGTGTTTTTTTCTGTTCTATCGTACTGTGGGAAACCTGATCGTACAATTCTGAAACTCCGTTTTTGTATATTTTACTTATGTGTACATTCTTTTGTAAATGTATGTTTATGCATGTATCTACTCGCATATTTTCTTAAAAAGAATTTTTGAAGTAAGCTTCACCTCCTGCAACACTTTTGTGTTTATACACATGTATATAATTTAATATCATTAAGAAGAATTTTAGTATAGTCGCAAACCTCAAACTTGGCACATCTCAAACATAGATGGCGCTGTTGCTTACAGTAGAGGTCGAAAATGTAGTCAGAGAATGTCTGAAAGTTGTTTATGAGATACAAACAGACACTTAAAGAACTTAGTAAAGTATCTTCTATCGCTTGGAGGCGAGTGTTTAGAGAGGAATTAATCACCAGGACCCTTGTTGGTACATAATGTTAAATTTAGGATTATATTTCTAACTCATGTGAAAGCCTTCGCTACTAATCTAAGGGTTATTGGTAGTCGCCTTACAGCTAGTTAAATCCGAGTGATTAACACTTCATAACAATCGAAGGTGAAGTTTGACTACACACTTTTGCAGAGGAATAAGTGAGATGTCTTATACCAAATATGAACTTTCTGAATAGCGATTACTAGTAGTGCCTATGAATAGGATAAGAAGAGGGACCTCGTGATAAATTGATTGACTTTTGCAAATGTATCTTGTTTATTGATTGGATCTGGCTATCAAGCACTTATTAGATTGAGAGAACATCAGGACTAAGAGCCATCTAACAAGTAAAATATAAAATTAATATACATAATTTTAGGGTGTCATTATAAACAATCCTCTAAAATGGTTCTATATATGAGAGCTCATTTCTATAAGTATCGCCGATGGAAATTATAAGTAGGATCCAAAGATGAATATTTGTAATTTCCTAAATAAAACTTGAATGGCTTGAACGTGTGCGAAATGCAGGAGCAATTTTTGAGTAGGGGAAATCGAGAGTAGCTTCTGCAATAGGCAGAGTTGATTCATCAAGGATTCCGCTGCTACCAAAGAAAGATTTATGGGTTTAGTAACATGGAAGAAAACTTTAAATATATAAAGAGCCTAGCAGCGATTAATGAATCTTAATCTAACGGCAGTGCTTTCAAGTTTACGTGGTCCAAACTAGAGAAATCGAAAGTCTGAGTGATTTCGTTAAGGAAATTTACCTCACAAAAAATTAACAATACTTTGTTACGTTTGTTATTTTTTTAGAGATAATAAGCAGGGCAGTGTTCTAAAAAATGCATGTGAATATTCTCAAAATTCCATTTTATGCCACTGAAATGAACATCGATGTAATACTTGTATATATAATATTTAGATTTTTTTTCTTTGATAATAATTGAAGTTTTTTCTTTAATATGAATTCAAGTTACACTTTTTGAGCGTGGTGATCGATAAGAAAATATATTTTTTTCTTTTATTGAATAATTGAGAAGTTAATATTGTTTAAAATATTTATATTCGAGAATTTTTATCATTGAAACGATAGGTTTATAGTAACTGAAATAAGAAACATAATTTTGATACTTGTTATCCTCTAAATATCTGGAAAATACCGCGTCAATGGTGGTCCCATATTTTGTTGTGGATTCTTGTTGATCATTATTCATTTTCAAATTCAGTATTGTTCAAGTCAAGCGAGATACTGTTCCAAAAAGTGAGGTAGCTATTTTAATAATATACTCCGAATATTGAATAATTTTTGTTTTTAATAATTAAATTTTAATTAAATTCTGTATTTTTATTTGCCATTAAAAAAAAGTGTACTCCGAATATTGAATAATTTTTGTTTTCAATTAATTTTTTATTAAATTCTATATTTTTATTTGCCATACTCTTCAATTGATTTGTTCCGCTTGCGATACACGAAAATAAGCCTGCAAGTATGCAAACATTTTAAACATAGCTGTTAGGTTTATTTCCGTTACGGAATTTCTCGATTCAGTCCCCAGGCTCAAAGCCCACTATAAAAGCTATGCAATAGCTTAAAAAAGTATCGCCTATATCGATATACCCTCGTTCTAATTTTGTGTTGTAGACTTGACTCCTCCGCCGTGTGGTTGGATTTAAAATTCAAAATTGAGTTGGACATTTTTTTAATATCAATTTTAAAGTTATTTAGATAATTTTATTAAAAAATTATTTCACCAATTTTTATAGTATTGTAAAATAAAAATCACAACAACATTTTACTCATTAAAAATAAAACCTCACTTTTTGAAATCATTTTCAAATTCACACCACCAACCGCATAGTTTTCATCAGGTGAGAAAGAATTCCAACAAATTGGTGAGCCGCCTTACGCTCACATAGTTGACCAAGACCACATAGGCATAGGCGGTGTAAATATAGGCCCAGGCCTGGAAGTGCAAATGCCGGGCGGCAAACGTTTTGCCATTGATGTGCTGCAAGTAGTTGTGCCGCGATTCGCTCAGCAGGCGACGCATCACCGTGCCGCTCAAATAGACGATGCTCATCAGTAGAATGAGGCGGCGAAGATGAACCAGCAAAATTGCCATCTACGCAACAAACACATAGACAGTCTCCTGTGGAGAGAAGTAGATTGCTGCTAAAAATATAAGCAAAACACAATTAAATAAAGTCAAAAACAACTGAAGTCAAAAGAGATGAGCGCAAAGCGGAAAATGAATGGCTAGCAAAGACGTGTAGAACGCAGCAACAGCAGCGGAGCAGAGAATGAAATGTATGAAAATTTTTCTTGTTGTATATAAATATATATGTTTTTATTTACGAGGGCGATCCGATAAAGACTTAACCTCACGATCTCTCACTATTCTATCTTTACAATCGTTTAGACGGTTACCGTCGAAATTTCAGCCGAATCGGACTCGTAGCTTTGTTTCTACCGCGTATGGAAGAAATCGCGTCAGCGAATTTTAGGAAAATGGAATAAAAGAAAACATCTGTCAGTGATTCAATAGTTGTGTTCGGAGGGCTAATCGCGTTTAGGTGTGCGGTGACCCGTTTGCTTCAATAGTGACCGCCACAAATTGGTCTAAAGAGTTTCAATGACGCACGTGGGTATTTGGTGAGCTATTTCCAAGTATCCCGAAAACTGCTACTACAGTTGAAGTGCTAATCGTTTTTGTGTCGTTTTGTGAACGTCGACGAAACATGGACCCACTAGTACACACCACAGACCAAAGAACAGTGAAATTCACCGGCGAACTTACTTCAAAGAAGGCGATTGGTCTAGTGGCCAGAAAATAATGCCCACCGTTTTCCGTGGATTCAGGTGTTGTCTACATCGGCTATCAGGAGAAGCTCTTCTGAATTATTAGACAAGTGAGATGGGGAATTCCGGAAAAATGGTCTGTTTGGCGAGGAAAAAAGTGTTATTCTACAATGGAAACACATAGGTTCAGAGCTCCGCTTAGGTTACAAACTCATGCCCCATCCTCTGTATTCTTCAGATTTGGTTTCCGCACGACTTTTACTGTTTCAAAAATTGAAGAAGGTCTACCTCTAGAAAACGAAGTGTTCATAAGGATGTCTCGATCTAAAATGAAACTGTTTTTATACCCTGAACAGCTCATATTAAGTTTGCCACAAAGTTGGTAACACCCTGAGGGAAACGTTGGACACCCTATAAAATATATGTATATACCTATATATAAATGATCAGCATGACGAGCTGAGTCGATTTAGTCATGTCCGTCTGTCTGTCTGTATATACGCAAACTAGTCCCTCAGTTTTTGAGATATCGATCTGACATTTTGCGAACATCCTTTTCTCTCTTAGAAGCTACTTATTTGTCGAAACCGCCGATATCGGATCACTATTGCATATAGATTTTATACAAACTGACAGATCAAAATCAAATTCTTGTAAGAAATTGCCATTTTTCCAAAATTTTCATTTTTATTTGGCAGCTTAAATATTTATTGGACCCCCCTCGTATATTCATGTACATATGTGTGCGTGTATTATATGATTTTGTTGCCTACATATTTTTGTCACATAATATCTTTTCGGAAAAATTTCGACTACTAATTGGAAATTTTGCAATGAGTAAACAATTTACACGCGTTTAAGACATAACGCATAGCACATAAGACACACATAGAAGCACATAAAACAAAGCGCCGAAAAGCTAGAACATAATATATAGCTTAGCTTCCGTTCGCCATGCTGGCTAGCTGGCTGGCTCCCCAGCTGCCGGACGGCTCGCCTTTGTAGCCGCGTACGTGTGGAGACCACAAGCGATTCTTTACAACTTTTTTATGGTGCACATATTTTTTCGATCGTGTCAAATCGTCTGTTTTGCCGCCGCCACAATTTCACAATATGCGCGAGTATTCTATCGCTATGTTATTGCTATTGTTGCACTGTGCAATTGTTGTCTGTTTTTATGTTTGCATATAAATTTATACTCACTGAGAAATAAGCGAGCGAAAAAAGTTCAAAAACCAAAAAAACGAACAAAAAACGATGATAATTTTCTGAACACTTTTGTTGCTTCGTTGTTGCTCTAAATTGCTTGCTGCCGCCGTTAGCCGCAATTCGAGATACACTGGCGCGCTGGCGATCGTAAATCTAATTTGGCAACACTTTCGTTTTTGGCAGCTCGACTCGCGGTGCCGCCCTACGCGCAGCGTGGATAACGGTGAGAGGAAGCGTTAAAGAGTCAAAATCCCAGAAGGCATTCACGGTATTAACTAATGTACAAGTATGTGTGTGCTTGTCTTCACTTGGGCGCGTGAAAATATTTGTGCGATTAAAAGTGTTGTTGCTTTTATGCCGTTATCAAAGCAGATAAGTAGTAAAGTGAACTTAAAGTAACGTTCCCTGGTTTACAGGAGCAAATAACCAACTAATAAGGTGTAGTTTGGTTCTATGTATGGTAGACTGCGAGGTGGAAACATCTAAGCTCTTTCTTCTTCACTGTCCAGCTTTCGCTAAACTGAGTCTCAAGTATCTAGACTGAGTCACACCATCGGCGAAAGTTGTTGAAATTTGCCCGCTCTAAGATATGCCTGTCGTAAGAGGCGACTAAAATCCATATGCGCCATGTCTGTTTTTCAGCTTCGCCACGAAATATCAGCAAAGTAATGTCAGAAATAGTGCTATAATACTCAGCTTGAATTGATATTATAGACTTTGAATGAGATTCCTTCCAATGAAAAAATTCAAATGCTTTTCATACAAGCGACAGATGTCACCAGTCATTGAGTTTGATGAGTGCTCAACTGGCAGTAGCTTCAGCTACAAGGTTTTACCGGAGACTTAAATCTGGTACTACGGATAGCAAAAAGTTCTTGAATTTTGGTCCAATCTGCTCATTGGGTTTGGCTCCTTGGAGAGATTTGTGGTGGCTGTGGTTTAAGCCTAAAGTGGTTTTTAATGTAGTGTGATCTGTGGAAGATCTCACAAGTCTTAGCTGCACGAACTCTTGAAGTGAAAAAAATCTTGGCACTACTTAGGCTTGTGACGGGTAACTTTCCTGTTGGCACTTATACAGTACGATACTGTACCATCTCCTACTGTAACGTTAATATTGACAGACTGAAATAATATTATAGTGTTTACAAATATGTGAACTGATAAAAATTTTGAAAACAATACTGCATGCAAATATTAATTATGATCTGTGCTCGTGGTCGATAGGTCTCGCCATTAAACCAATGAACAAATCCCTGATCAAAATGTATAACCTCTCTGTACTGGACATAAAAATATATATAAATATTCGATAACTAAAATTTATTAGTTTCATAAAACTTTCATCCACTGTAGGGTGTGCACATATTATATTAAATTTTTTATACCCTGAACAGGGTATATAAAGTTTGCCACGAAGTTTGTAACACCCAGAAGAAAACGTCGGATACCCTATACAATATATACATAAATGATCAGCATGATGAGATGAGTTGATTTAGCCATGACCGTCTGTCTGCCTATCTGTCTGTATGCCTGTTCGTCTGTCTTTTTGTCTGTATATACGCGAACTAGTCCCTCACTAAGAAGCTGCTCATTTGTCGGAACGGCCGATATCGGACCACTATAGCATATAACTGCCTTACAAACTGTACAATCGGAATCAAGTGCTTGTATGGGAAACTCTTATATTTTACCTAATATCTTCACAAAATTTGGCATGGATTATTGTCGAAATTGTTCAGATCAAATCATTATAGCATATAGCTGCCATATTAACTGAACGATCGCATGGAAGACTTTTTTATTTGACGAGGTATCTTTACGAAAATAGATCGGAATCAAGTTCTTGTAACGAACCTTTGTATTTATGAAGGGTATTATAGTTTCGGTGCAGCCGAAGTTAACGTTTTGTTTGTTTTTGCTATTATATGGTAATGTTGTTGCTATTGTTTTGACTTGTATTTTCATTTCCAATAGCAGATGGGTAGCAAATAGCAGAGGAAATAGAAATATGTTCATCTGCTGCCACAACACAGTCAGGTTATAGCCTAAATTCATTATAGCAACAACAGCAACAAATATATAATAATAGCACTAACAACACAAATAATAATAACAGCAGCAAAAATTAAAACAAAAATAACAACAACAACGAATTATCAAAGAAATTCAGCATTTAGCCAAAAACACGAAAAATTTACAATCAGAAGAACATTAACAACAATAAGCGGAAAAATCACGAAAATTAGAGCGACAACAAAAACTGCAATAAATACATCATGTAAATGCTTTTAGATGCCGACACACATACATACATACATATAATATGGACATATGAGTACTTGTATGACCGAGTTAATAATTTTATATGTATGCGGTGTGGTGGTTTACTGCTTGTAGATATCAAATATGAATGTATATACATACGTATGTGTATTTGTGTGGGTGAGCATGTTTTCTTATACATTTGCGTGTGCCTGCCTCAGTGGTGCGGCGAATTTATTGTACGCGTCTGCATATATGAGTCACAGCGCATTTTTCCGCTGCACATGGCTGCCAGCTAGCTGTTGTTGTTGTAGTTGTGTTTTTGTTATTGTAAGCACTAGCCGTAAACAAAGCATTGCAGAAATCCAATCAGAAATGCGTGATTTTTGGGCTTTCATCGATTGCATCAATATTCACAGAATATTTATCCACCACACATACACATATATATATAAAAACAAATACATACAAATATAAATATATATTTTTTTATGCCTGGTTGCATGTTGCAGCAATTAATTTTATTAACTTGCCGTTTGCTATTTTTATTGCATAATCTGTCGCTTATGTTTGTCGGCGCATAAATTATGCGCGACGCCGGCCGCTTGTCAGCCGAGCCGCTGGAGGCGTTAGTGCAACACCCACTCACACATTGTTGGTGGGTGAGTTGATGTTTGGTGGCAGGCATTAACAGCGGTCGCAACCGCAACAACAACACTGCTACTGACACTTCATGTACAAAGCATGAATGCAAGTATGTATGTATGTGTGCGCCTGTTTGTGTGTTCTGGCTTTGGGGCCATCCGGGGCGTATGAGTGACCACGGCAGCGTGGCATTTCGCTTCGCATTGTGGGATTAGCATTAATTTTCTTGCT